GGTCCCTGAGGCCCTTCAACTGCACCGCATGTAGATATGCACCCAGCATACAGCTCTACACGGGCGAACTTGGTGGCAGGATGTTTCAACAGCTTTGAGAAAACCACCGGCCAGTGATGAACTGAACTCCCTGACTTGTAGACACAAGTCATTGATGCCTCGGCTGCCTGCAGCTTCTCGACCAGGAGCTGGGCCTCCAAAAACCACCGCTACGCCGCCCCGCGTGTCCCACATGCTGCACGCAGCGGCGGATCATAGCTGCTTCTCGAAGCAGCTTCGAGGCGAGCTTTCCATGCGCGAAGTCTGTCCAGTCTAAAAGGCCCAAAGAGTTAGATCTTTCGAAGGCCCAAAGAACGAGCAATAAAAAGAAGCTACTAGCTTCTTGTTACTAGTAGTAAGGCACTTGTTACTAGTAGCGATGCACTTGTTGCTAATAGCTTCTTGTTACCTTTCCAGTAAAGAGCAGTTTTAAAAGGTCCTAGTAGCGTCCTTGTTACTAGTAGTAAGGCACTTGTTACTAGTAGCCATGCACTTGTTACTAATAGCTTCTTATACAGAGGTGTGAAGCCATGCCTGGTTTTGCTTGCCTGTTCCACAGGGATGCTTGAAGGATAGGAGTGCCCCTGTCACATCCACTCAGGACTGGGATATTAGGGTCTAAGAGCCACTCCTTTGGAACTGCTGGTAGGGTCCTGGACCATCGACATATCGAAATACCATGAATATACAGTAAATGAATCATGCCTCAGGAAAAAAATCCGCGTGCCACAGGTGCCACACCTAAGAATAGGTCACACAGAAGTCATAATCGGCTTACGGGATTGGTTTTCGCTGCCAATCCAGTACCTCGCAGTGTCAACCGCACCAGTGGTGGGGCCTGTCGCGCACCCAGCGTCACAGCCTCACGTGTGTGGGACCCCATGATGCCGATGAGGTCTTTCAGGTCAGTGATTGCACTTCAGAAGCAAGCTTGGAACTCAGACTACCAGGTGGAAAACCCATGGCCATCTTCCAGATACTAAAAGCAAACAACTCAGCAGTCTGGGATGCTACCCCTCTCACCCGCCTCGCTGCCAGGATCCCAACCTGAGCTTGGGCGCTTGGAACGACGGTTCATCACCCAAACGTCTTTGGGGGCGCGGCAAAAAAAGCCCTTCGAGGTGCTGGGACATGGAAGTACGATACAGTTCACGCCCTGGAACGGGAGGCAAATGGTCATCCAAAGGACCATCCACTTCGCATGGAACATCATGGAACGTGAGTCGGAGTGTCAACATCTCGGTCATACCGGGCGCAAACTGAGTCGCCCCAGCACGAAGGAGACGTCTCTGCTTTGGCCATGGGACATGCGGCACATGGCAGAACATGGGAATTCCCCAGGAACAGCGTTTTCCTCGTGGCCTACACGTAACGTCCACGAGGTGGCTGACACGAATCAGTTTTTGCATCAAGAAATTGGTTGGCCTTCAGTTCATGGTCATTCATGCTTCACTTCGTATCACTCAGATGCTTTCGGGGGAAGCCCCGGCCGTCGAGTTGGGCTGGCGAACCTGTGATGTGGATGGCCCCGTGGCGACTCGGATGGCCATTTTCAGTACAAACCTGTAGTGAACTCATGTGAACTCCACAAAACCATGCTTATTCCCAGGGAGTGTAGTACACATCTTCCGTTCCGGTCCTGAAGTTAACCGTGAAATATCTACAGTGGAACCCCATGGTCCAACCTTCTGTCAGTTTCCAAGAAACCCCATAGTGAATCAATGTTGGGTGTAGAAAGGTGTGGTGAATTCTCATGGGCCCTTAATTACTCTTTCTTATGGTTTTTTCTCATGGCCTCATTGCTGTGGAGCCCAAGCAAGAATCTCAACATCCAGGACGACATGATGAAATGTCAATCCTAGTTGCAAAGGACAGTGAAGGTGCGAGCATGCCGCGTGAAATCTGGCTGTTATTGAAGCTTTGGCTTATCTAGCAGCACAAGATAGCCACCAGCACAACTTGTCTTGTTAGTCTTGTTCAATTCACAGTGGTTGTTGGTCGCTTGTCAGAACCTGATCTTTGAAGAGATTTGTTTCCTGCAGTGGCTACAGTCTCTTTGTCAACCATTTTAAGATGATTGTTGTTGTTGTTGTTGCTGTTGTTTCTTCTTCTTCTTCTTCTTCTTCCTCTTCTTCTTCTTCTTCTTCGGATTCTTCGGACAACCGAAGTGCTGCTTCTGGAGAGAAGCGCGCGTTTTCCTCTCCCGCCGGCCCATCCACGCGCCCGCATCTCAACTGTAGGCTCGCATCTCCACATACCTGGAACGAAAGTTGAAGTAGGGGCAGAAAACATGGCGGACACATTGAGAAGTGCATGCAGCCGGCGTCCTTTCAAAGACCTGACCCTTTCTCACAGATCCTACTTCCTACGTCCAAATTGATTGTAGTCCAGAACACCCTTTATAGCACCAAGGTTTGAATGGCAGGGGGCAGGCTGAATTGGAGTTTGACAAAGCTCGAACCCAGAAATCCCCAAACCCATGACTGGAGAGCCTGTTCATAAAATGAATTCCGCTCTTTTGGCTCAAACCACAAGTCGTGGTTCATCTAGGACTCAATTCAAACAGAGTCTTTGGATGCCTCTGATCTCCCACTATTCAAAACTACACGAAGTGCTCTCCCTTCCAAACCAGGGGCATTTGAACAACCGGACACTGCTGGACACCAAGAACTGGAGTTCCTCTCCCGGATCGAGCAAGCTAGAAATTGTCTTTCACAGCTGGATCGCGCGCACCTCGTCAAGAGCTTACTGGTCAGTGGCAGAAGCTCCTCGATTTCGTCGGTGAACGGAACAGATTGCCGGATCCCGGCGACGGTGCGACGGGGTGAGGAGAGGTTCCATCAATGTGGCTTACATTATTCCAATGACGTAAACATTATTAATATCAATAAATTGTCTTTGAAATATATGAATGAAAGATACCCTGCGGAATCGGCTTTGACTGGGGACTGTTTGATTCTTCTGGGCTTGGTTAAAAGGAATAAATGAACGTGTGCATTAGCATTATGTAGCTACCTTTAAAAAAGAGTTGAGGGTCCAGCTGCCAGCAAAAGAGCACTCTCCGCTTGATGATTACTACTCAGTGATACTAAGGCCAGGACCAATTCTGAGGTGTTTGCAAGATCTATGACAGCTTCTCATTCTACAGCATATCCGCACACCTGTTTCATTTTAGACGTACTGAAGGGGGCCACGATGTGAAGGGAAGTCGCTGGGCCGCCTTCGCCGACGCGTGGAACCACACGCGATCACTCCCAGACGTTCCACGTCCCGTTCGTGCGGGCTACGGTGGTCTGGCAGTAGGTGGCTCCAGGGACGACCTGGCACCATGACTCGCATAGTCCAAGCGTATTTCAAGCTGAACTAGGAGCAAACTGTCAGCAGAAGAGCTACAAACTGGTTAGGTTTCGAAGTGTTTCCAAGCCTAGTCCTTTGATGTCCCTTGTGTTCAACACAATGTCTTTGCTCAACCTAGAGTAGTCTCCACAATGTCGTTCATTTCAAAATGGGTACGGCTCGCAGACCTGCTGTCAAGTTAAGTCACATGTTCTCAGGTGCAAATACGCTGGTCGTATCTTGGGTGGCTGATAATCCAAAAACAGGGACATATGGGTCCTAGGTTGGCAAATTGCTTCTCACAGGCATAAAGGAAAAGGCGAAATGGTTGTCCGTGCAGTCTGGAAAGTTGTTGAAACTGTTCCAATTTGGCAGGCTTAGATTCTTTGTGTATGTATATATATAATTTACTATGTTTTTCGCTAGGGGCAAGTCACTGGGGAGGGGAGGTGCTGGGACGACTTTGGCGAAGTTCCTGGGAAACAACGATTTGTTTCTGGTAGGGGTTTGGGACTGGGGTTCCGGCCAAGAATCACCGGTGTTTCTGGACCATGCTGGGTTCCAGGCTGGTGCAAAGAGCTGTTGTAGCAGCTGGTCAAAGATGCAAATGTTTTCACTGCCTTGTGCACCGGCAGCAGAGGATCTTCAAAGAAATGTGAACATTACATACATTCCCTTCTCTTGGGAAGCAAGCGGGTTTTATTCAGTCAGGAGTCAGGACAAACGCCTTCTGACGCCAGTCCTGCTAACGTTCAGTCGGATTCTGATGGTTCAACATATGTTAGAAAGTGTTTCTATCTATACGGGTGGAGATTTGCAAAACGCAACAGTGTTCTTACTCAGTTTTCTCCTAAAATTATGCTTGCTTCTAGCCGAATAGGCTTGGGTTTGTCTTGAAAAGGAAAAAGCTTCCCACCTGGTCCCCGGGACACTTCTTCGTTGGAAGACCCTCCCAATTCTTTGGGAAAGCACGGGAACAACGGCGCCAGAAACCGCCGGCGACGGAACGACGAACCGAGCGACGGAAGAGTTGCTTGCTCTTGGCATAGTCCCAGACCTCCCGAGGTCGACGAGCGCAACCGACGAGGTTCCGGTGGACCCGGAGAGGTTCGTGGACTGACTTATGACCGAGATGAAGGGGGGAACAGGAAGACCTCAACCTCTTTCACACAGCATACGACCTAAAGACATGTTGAAAGGAGATCCGCTGGGTTAATATGCATGCAATGTCTAGTGCTGGGTATTCAATAGCTGGAGTGAACAATCGTTATCCAATCCATTGAAGGTTTGTGCGGTGTTCCAGTGATTAACACATGCAAGGATTTTGACGACTTAGTGCCCCTACAAGCGCCTTGATGATGCGAGTGATGCTACAACAGCTTGGACTTGCATTTTCCCAACTCCCCTAAATGGGCTCTACTGGAAGATACTGGAAGTTTCGAGGTGCAGCATCACGCTTTACCGGATAATCCTGTGAACAAGTTAAACAGTTAAACGGATGCTGTACTGTAGCTGAACAAAACTGGTAAATTCTCTCTGGCCAGCAAACTCTAAGCGATAGTGACTTTGCACATCCAACTACCAGTAGCCTTCCCCACACCCAAGAAACCGCCGCTAGCAGCATTCAACGTTCGCGGACAACATTTGGTCTTCGTGCTTTCGGGTGAAGCAATGTGTCTTTGGCCGAGGCGCAAGAGGAAAACTATTCCACACCCGAAGTCCACAATAACATGGTTTGTGTTGTTCGATTCAGATGGTATGATTCCCACAACAGTTCTGGCCCGAACCAATCTCCTGCAGAGATTGAATCCGGCTGTAGCAACTGCACCGCGGTGCAGCACATTGCGAAAAAGCGAGAGTAATACGCATTAGCTGCATTTAGCTGCACATCTTTCATTTCTGGCGCATCTGACCAGCAGTACTAGCCCGGCGGAGCTGGCGCAATCATAGAATCAAAACGAGCCAGGCTCAAAAGACGAATCAATCAGCGGCAGCCGCGCCATTCACGAACAGCGCACGCGGCTGACAATCACGGCGTTGCCAGACTGGCCGAAAGGGAGAAGTCTGAAGATTTCTTTGCTCAGTGCCTCCCCAATCGGCTCAATGTTCCTGAGAAAGAGATGGACTTCGTCAGGCTTACAGGATGGGCAACGGCCTCTCCTGAAAACCGTTAAGTGAATTTGTGTGGACTCTCTCGACTTCCTTGGGGAATGGGCTAGACAGGGTCCCTGTCTGAAGAGCTGTTAAACAAGAGCAGCGGTATGGCATTCGATGAAAAATCCAACTGAACTAACCACTTGGATGCAAAAAATGAATTCGAACCGTGCAAAAACATGTCATCCCCTTTGGCAGAATGTTGGATGAAATGCTAGCGATCCTGCTTTTTCCTAGATACGGCAGTATATGTTTTGGGCACACGGCTCGTGGCTGGCAGTTTGGACCAGCCAGCTCGCGCCTGGCTTGCAGCTCTTTTGGTTGTGAGGGGAAGGTGAAATTTGTGCGTTGGGCCCAGTTGGCTCGAAAAGGTAAGGTATTATAGCATGATCCAAACCTAAAGGTGAAAGGAACAATCGTCGAAACTTCTTCCTAGATGCTTCACATTTGTTGAGCCCTCAGTGAAATGACCCCAAAACAACACCCCTCATTCATCCTCAAGACGCCCACACTCCGAGTTCGCCACGGACGCCAACGGCCCAGCACCAGTTCCACCCCTCCACGGACCCCGGGGGTGGAAACGCCAAGGCTCGGTCGCCCTCGCGATCTGGAGCGCCTTAGAGGCGAGGCGACCGCCAGGGATGCGAGGGGTCGAGGCGACCCATCACGCTGCTCCAAACAGGATCACGGGGCTTTTTCCGTGTTCTTTTCGAATTCCCACCGAAGATGAACACATGAACCGAATAGATCACAGAGGATTGACCTCTGGAAAGGAGCTTCTGCGCTTCTGTCGAAGATGCACTGAGTTCCACGCTCCAAGGATCAAGAGACTCCTCAAGGCGGTCCTGAGCTCCAAAACCCAACGCCACGGCGAATGTTGTAAGGCACACACATCGTTGTAACTCACACTGCGCCTCGACACCTTTTTTGTTCTCTGTACAAATAGGGGCCGTATGATGTATAGACAAAATCAGCCGGCAGGGCCGATTTTGAATGAATCTGAATGGAGCGCTGTGCCGATCGTCACCATGTGTCTTTTTACAGAAACAACCTGTTGATTACCAACCCCTCCATTCAGATTGTAAAGAATCTTCGTATTGAGGGTTTGATTCATCAACAGTCTACATTACAGAAACAACTGATAAAGTTGGGGTGATTATAATGTCTAGCACCCCGAATCCTCCCTTCTGTTGATGAAGGGAATCCCCTGATGGAGTGGGTTACAAGTTATGACTCCCTCCTGATTCGTCCAGTTGGGCACCTGCGGTCTGCTTGGCCAAGAAACACATGAGCAAAAGCTGTTAGCATGACTCAACCTTGATGGAGCTGACCCCTAGATTCACACCAGTGTGCAGAATTGCAGAATTTCACAACGAGTCCACGAGCCACACGAGTTCAATACAGAAACCAAAGGGAACACACGGAGAAAAAAAACGGTGGTCACTCAGTCACTCATCTTCTCGGTCACCTCATCTTCTCACTCACGTCCGTGGTCGACCACAGCGACGTTTAGCGAGGCCCAGTGACAGCGACGCCGCAGCGTTGAGGCCCACATAGTCGGAGGTTTCCTCCTCGATCGAAACCACCTGGACAAAGGACTAAGGGTTGTTTAGCCCTGTTCGTTTTAACATGTTTTAACCCAGGGATCTCCCAGCCTCCGCAAAAAAGAACGACTCGATCCGGATCGTGTCGTTTGTTGAACAAATTCTTCATACAAAGAGTTGCACGCTGGGGTGTTTCCTAGACCCATCAAATGAGTGGATGCGAGCACCCCAAAGAACGTGTGTGGCCTTGGGGCAATCTCCCAGGAATCGTCCAGAATTCATCCTCTAGTTTCAGATCCGGTTTTGTCAGCTCTCGAGTTTCATGACTGGAATTCCAGGTGTATGAGTGTAGGAGGGATACCCAAAAATACTCAGCCGGCCCACAGGCTACTGGGAGAAAAATGAACACCACAAGTCCTGAAATCGCTTGTCGAACCTTCTCCATCTTACTCCACGCGGCAGCCGTAGCTTCTAGCTTCTTTGTGCGCGTTTGAAAAGAAAAAAAGCGCCCGTGCCCACTAAAAGATCCACAAAAAAAATTGGTGCCTCTTGTGTATAGAGACCTTCACCCACATAGGTGTTGACATATCTGGTCACTTGAGCTCCAAAGTGCGCCGGCGTCTCAGCCTTCAAGGTCTCCTGAACCTCGACCACCGGCCGTTTCACTCGGTGCGACCGTTTACGGTCGGAGAAGAGTCAACCCGAGTTCACGCCGGTCCATCACCCCAGCTCGGTCAAGTTGGGGGAAAGCAATGGCGGTCGTTTCAACGCGGTTTCGGCAACTCTGGAAAAAAGACGCTCCATCTTTGAGGGGGGCCAATGCTCCAGTGTTGCGCAAGCCGAAGAAAATCAAGATGGCTGTGGGACAAAACCAGGAGACCTTGGTTGACTTACCTGGCAGGTCGTTCGCTACATAGTAGACCAGGGCTTCAGGTTGCCAGGTAGGGTTGAAAAACACTACGACATAGACCTAGAGGGCTTCTGACTGGTGCTTGGCAAGGCATGAGGGATGAGCCCCGATTCCTTTGGATGCGTTCCCCCACTCCCTTCTAAGCACCAGTCAGGCTTCTGGAACGCATTCACACCCAAATGTGTGAGTGTGTGCTAAAATAGGGAGACACTCCCAAAGACCCCTGGTCTGCCCATTGGGGATCACAACATGCAAAACCGCTGTCTGAGCGAAGGCCTCCCAAAAGCAGGCTCCTTACAGCGTGCTACGGTGGGTACTGGGGAGGTTGGAACGCTCAACTGCTGGAGGTTCTCCCTATTGAAATCCACACCCGAAAGCCACCCTCTCACCTCGTCGTCCCATGCTTCGTTCAGAACGATTCACCGGAGCCCGCAGAAAGCCGACCGGAGCTGGCAGCTATTGCGGAAGCAATGACGGACCGACCCCAAGAACGACGACCCAAAGGAGGACGTGGCAGAAGAAAGCGTTCTTGTTCCTAGTAGCGATGCCAGGAGCCCCTAGTAGCGTCCTTGCTCCTACTAGTACGGCCAGGAGCCCCTAGTAGTACGAGCTTCTTGTTCCGTACTATTTGCACAGTAGCCTAGACCAGGTCTTTAAGGAATTGCTGAAGAAATTCCAGGCCACAAGTTCGGTTGTCTCGATGGGCCTTTTTCAACACATGTCGTACCCCAAGTCTAGTAGAAAGTCCAGGTCATAGACTCCCGGTCCATGACGATAAATGCATACAACAACATCGTCTCGCAGGAAGAAAGGCATTGGAATCCCGATGTTGAATTGAATCTACCTTCAAATAAACGAAGGATTCCAACATATTCCAACCCCTGAGGATTTGTTGTGTTTCTCCAATAACTATCATCCTTTTCGTCCGGACACTATATAAACACAAGACCAACTTGCAAGCTTTCCGGAAGGCGGCTCTGGAACACACCCCCGGAGCTTGGGGAACACATCGTGCCATTCTCTTCATCCCTTTACACCAATGACTAAGCCTCCGGCGGCCGTGACGTCCTTCTCAGGCACCGTGAGGATGAAACCTGTGGATTTGTTGACGAGAAAGGTCGATCAACGAGGAGATACCCGTTCAAATACCGTTTCTGGAGTCTTTGGGTACCAGTAGACCAGAGGCCCCGTAAGGCCCTAAGGCCGGGTGTCTATTTGTTCGCCCGAAAAGGATTATATCTTTTTGGTCGTGTCCATGAACCACCGTACTTTGTTGGAGAATCCTTTCTTTGTACTTCAGCCCAGTGACTCACCGTCAAATTCCCTGGCGCTTGAGGCACCATCTGCAAATCCTCTGCGTCGCGAGCATCCGCGAGCGTCCGCGGAAGAAAGGGCATGAAGACTACCCTGCTGTGTGGGGCGCCATGAAATATCCAATCCAACTGTATGGCAGAATGATGTATCGAATACAACAACTACAAAATAAGCCGGCTGTTTGGGTAAATCCGAAGAGAAGACGAGCTACTGCAAAATGTGCATAAGTATATAATTAAGTATGAAACCCCTCCTTTCGCCATGTTCACTGGTCACTTCACTTGTCTGGTGATTCAACTCTTCAAGCACGGAGGGCGAGACAGCAAGTGACGGTGCCAGCATCACCGTGCCGTTGGCGGATCGAGCAACGAGCACCCTTTCCACTGGGAGACTCACCTTCTTCTCGTGCCGTCCCAGATTGCTATGGCAGCGGCTATGCAGATCTAGCTGTCTTGGCAAGTTGTGCAAGTTGCACGACGTGCAACTGGACTGGAACAGGGAGACCTTCCAAAGACCCCTCAAGAATGGGAAAACTACTCTAAAACCCACTGGTTGGCATCAACTTCTTGTGCCAGCGGGCTTGCTCGGGCTCCCATCTTCCAACCCTTCCCCACATCTTCTCGGCTTCCGGACGATCATTTGCGTTGGGAGCTGAGTCAGCTCCTGCATGACTTCCCGGTAGGCGGTGGAGACGCGCGAGTCGGTGATGTAATCCACATTGTTCTGCACCTTTGTCACCTTCACCCTCACCACCAGCCTCGCCGGGAAACCGAAGCGGCCGAGTTCGGACCCGGTGACTTCGAAGCGCTTGGAAGCTGCGGGAAACGAAAGGGGAGTACTCCCAGAGAGTTGGAAGAATCGTACTACTGCGCCGTGGTTCAACGACTTTAATTAATGCAAACGTCTGGAATGGAATCTCGTTCATGAAGATGCTTTGCCCTCCCGGCATTCTGCCCCTGTTTCCTGCGCAATCACTAGGGGAGCTGGGGTGCGATTATCTCACACCACAGATATGACCTTCAAGGATCTTCGCCAAAAACTCGGCGAAACGGTGCAGTGGGGTCGCAGTCCACCCGACGTCTCCTAAAACCACCGACGAAGCGCGCAGGCACAGCATGGCACAGCTGTACATGGATACGCTGGTGCACCAACAGAAGATGTTACAATTCCGGCAAAGGTTCAATCACACACGGCACGAGCAAGTAGGTTTTGCACACTTTTCGCACAGGATCTTCACCAAAAGGCGTTTACATGGGTTTACCATGGATTTATAGCAAAGATTCACAATTCAAACCATTTTGTCAAGTTTTGCTGCATGGCGCCATATACATTATTATAGATCATTGCAAAAAAGGAAAGACTATTCCCTCTCTTTGCCAGGTTTGATGTACCTCAGCTGCCCTTAGCTGCTGTCAAAGACATGACAAGTTCCTCCAACTGTTTGATTCCCCTCGTCAACAGCCTTCGGCCGGCCAGTTGCACTCTACGCAATAGGTCTAAGCGGGTGTGCTTTACCTCTGCTTTAGTCTTCTGCTTTGCTTTCTCTTCCCATGGTGCCGCTATTTTGATACCCAAATATACTATTGCTTCGTGAGGGGGGTCGCAACGGCCTCTGCGTGGGGCCCTCGTAGCTCGTTGTGCTCGCTCGTGGAGAGGTGGTGGGCGCTGCAGTGGTGGCTTCGGTGGTGTTGACGAAGAGGGTGCTGGTAGCTGTTGCAGTCCTTAGTTGATGAATGACTCCGAATGACCAAACACGCCAATTCTGAGTCAAAAGAATTCTAAAGCCGCGCCCTCTTTCTATTCATGCTTTATCATGAGGCATCTCCCGTTCTTGTACTGTATCCCATCGCTGAGCGTCAAAGTGCTTGTGTGGGTCGACGTTCCGGTGCCGGTGCCGGTCTTCGTGAGAGTCGCCGTCTGAGTAACTGTTGCGGTGCTCGTCGCGGTCACCGTGGCCGTCGTTCCCGTCCTCGTTCCCGTTGCGGAGGTCACCGTCACCGTGTGAGAAGTGCTCGTGTGGGTGGTCGTGGCTGTCTCCGTCGAGGTCTGTGTAATCGTGGTCTGGCTCACGGTCGTCGTGGTGGTGGTGATGCAGCATGGCTCAGCACAGATAGTTCCACAACCCGGGATTGCACCCACGCCTTGACCTGCCGAGGGTAGGCATGATGATTGTTGATTGCAACTACCTCCAAGAGAATGACTCAGGTAGGACCCATGTCCAATCAGGCAGTTCAAAAAGGGATTTAAATATATCAAGACTGTCCAAACTATTCCAAACCATCACCCAGTCTCGATGGATGTTATGCGGATGGGAAGAGATGTCGCAAACACGTCGTAAGAGTTATAAGAACAATGGTGTTTGGACCCCAAGCAAATGGATGAGCACCTGCCACCAGGAAACACCGATTGACTGGAGGCTTTGGTCCTTCAGGTGGTGTTCTGGAGCAGCTCTTTTCATGCCATCGCATAGAATGACCATTTCCAGGACTGTTTGTGCAACAATCGCTCTGAAAGATTGCACAAAAAGAGAAAGACTTAACTATAGAGCGTGCCTGAAACGATCCAAAAAATGAGCTTGTAACTGCAACCGCCTGATCCCCCATCTGTAACTCTCACCAATGTCACACCCCGGGCAGCCCAAGCCTCCACATGTAAGTCCCGCCGTTGCAAGGCTCTCGCAGGTGACAGAAGGAAGCAAGCACTCTGAGGTCCACGTGGACTCGGAACATCCTCAGAATTCCAAAGGACCAAGAAAGGCCAAACGGGTGTGTAATGAAATAGGGTGACGGGTGACCCTTCCATACGCACAGAGTGAATTCAGCTTGTGGAAAATCGATGAACACAGACCAAAGACCATGTGGTTGGGATGCCCGCTTGTTCAAGCGCACCTGCCAGCTGGTCCTGGTGGGGCTGGTTTGTCCACCTTCTTCGAGCTTGATCGCCTTCTCGATTGATGGTTTACTGGGCCAGGGAACGATGGCTGAGTGTTCCGAGTATTTATGTGAATTGATCGTGGCTCCAGAAGGCATTCGGGCACTTTCTGTTCCATGACGAGTGAATTCCTCACTTGAGCATTTTCCGGTCAGTTGGTGCGTCAACACCTCAATTTCATGGTGCTTCGGGTGCTTCGGGTGCTTTGGGTGCTTCGGGTGCATCGAGATCTGGTGTTTGACCATGTTCTACCAGTTACCTTCATTCCTCCAGAACTGGGATCCAATCCAACCGGTGATACAGTAGCGGGTCTCGAGCGCTCCTCGCTCCTGCAGCCAGTGATTTGGATCGTACCCTAGGAGCCCATACCTTTGAAAAATGGTCGGGTGTGCTTCGATACCAAGAGGTGTTGACGTGCTGAAACGCTGGGTTTGTGGTGAAAACGCGCGTGAAGCCAGACGAGTCGCTGTCCAGTGCTCTTCGATGTCAACTTCGAGGACCGATTGTCTTGGGAAATGGGAGTGATTCGAAGTTTTGGATCGCACTATGCGTCTTGAACGCCGAGAGTGGGTTTCTTGAGCCCACCATGTCAGCCTTGGTCTTGCCAATAGGAAAGGCCTTTCATGTGAAGATGGGTCCATTTTCTGACGCTACAACAGGCGGATCGACTGTCTGTCTTGTTCTTCCCGTCGCGGCGAGCGTGTCTCGTCTGGCATACCAAGCATTCTGCTTGATATCCTCCACACATATGATTTCACATGTGATCCCCGAATTAAGATTCCGCACTGTCCAAACAGAATGCCCAAGCTTGAAGGCGGGCTGTTGAAACACTCGCAAGAATACGGGCGAAACGAATCTTCTGGTCACGAGAGAAGAAAATCTCCGCCCCATCGATGGTGCCATTTGGCAGAGGTTTGCCAATGCATTTATTGCGATGTCTGTTATGTCGACCAGGAATGAACGAATCATCGGAACTCGTTCGAACCAGGGCCACAAATTGCTTTATGTCAGAAGTGAGGTCACGAAATGTGTGTATGGACGGGTCCTGGGAAGGCAGGCAAAAACCTGGGAGATAAAAAGAACCGCCAACTCCACGTACGACTGTCTGTCTTGTTCTTTTTTTTTCCCCGACGCGTCGATGCGGTCACGACTGGTTTACATGGCATTCTGCCACGCACCCAAACACATGTGAGAGGTCCACATGAGAAAACTAATTATGACTCCGCACTGCCAAACGTGAACTCCCAAGCAGCTAGCTTCGCTGTCGACACACCAGACAAAATCCTAGCAAAGCGGATCTTCTCTTCCCTGCAGAAAAGAACCTCTGCACCATCGATGGTGCCATTTGGTAGCGACTTACCGATGCTCTTGTTGCGGTGCCTGTTGTGAACACCGGGAAGGACTTTATCCGAGAGGGATCTCGCGTGTGCAACAAACTGCCGTATTTCACCTGTCAAGTCACGAAAAGTATGTTGATCAGGATCATGTTCAGGCAAACGAAAACCCTTCAAATAGAATAACACCGCAAGCTCAACATAGGAAGTAACTGCATCATGATGAACTTTCCACTGAAGTTGATCGAAAAATTCTCCCAACACTCGCCAGCTCGGAGCACGTTCAGCCCACTTCTCATGTAATGGAAGTGAAAGCAAAGACTCTTCCACTCTCCAAGCAAAATCACCAAGGTTGGGGCCCCATTCCCAGTGGGGAAAGAGGGAGAAGACATTCTCGGAATCCGCTTCAGCTTCCATTCTCGCCTCATTTTTGGCATCTTGATCATGCTTCTGCAGTATTGCCACCTGGATATTAAGATTCGTGAGCCAATCCTGGCGCTGCACTATGGATTTCTTGACCAAAGTTTCGTCATGAGGATGGATACTAGTCGCCTCCAAAGCATGTGCCTTGGCGAACCTATCCGCAAACCGATTGCCCATGATGTGGCGAACCTCTGTTCAATGGGCGTGAGCCATGGAGTGCGTGATATGCTCTTCAGGTAGATACTCAAACAAGTGTGAGGGGACCCAAACAGCTTGCAGAGGGGTTGGGTGCAGATTTCGCAAAGCTTGCAATCTATCATGGATGGCGTGCCACCAAGCAAGATGGGACCAAGCTGGATCGGGGACTTTATCGGCCTGCAGCTCCCGGAGTTGGTTCACTATTGTCTGACAGTCTGTATAGACAGTCGTGGGGCCTGTACAGATGCGGGAGGCCACCACCAATGCCCAGAGTTCGGTGGAGTATGAGGACAAACTCAAGTTGCGCACAGGGCCACCTGAAACTTCTTGGTAATGTTGGTCGACCAAGGAAAAACCACCAGCTGTGAGCCAGAATGTATCGGACCAAAAAATTGATCCATCAGACCACCACTCTGTACGGGGCGCCTCCGGATGAAAGGTCTGAGCTTCAATGTGATCGGGGTTGGACCATCCCAGCCTGTGCTTGATGATACCTACAGGATGTTCCACAATTCCAAGCAGGCCAAAATTAGGACCATACTCATGGACCGGATGTGGTGGGAACCGTTCCAAGAACACCGGGCATTCATGGACCAGGTGGTGAAGAGATTCCTTGACTCCCTCACAAAATCTGCACCGATCCGATGAGTCCAGGGACGCAGCAAACAGACGGTCTCTAGTTAGGGTACAGCCAACTAACTGCGATTGGAAGTGGCTTTCAACCGGAGTATCCGGGCTCATCTGGAGCTGAGAAGACTTACGAAGACCACAAGTAAGGTCAAAATCGAGAATTCCAGCCGGCGCCTTGAAGTCTTTCCTGTGCTGATTGGATGCATCTACATAACATTTGTGTCGGGCAAGCCTCTGAAGGACCGGTTTGATGTCCTTCGGAGAAAGATCCCACACTGGCATCAAAGGTTTCCCAGCAAAAATTACTTGCAAAGAATCTGACAACTGGAACCCAAAGAACTGAAAAGCTTGTTGAATCCGTTTCACAAAGCTGTGGTCGGAAGGCACAGCGTTGGCACACCAGCGGACCTTGTCCAATCCATTACCAGGCATTCGGAGAAACCGGACAAACTCCAGGATCGAATGATATGCTCTGGCACATTGCGGATCATTCTGGTGAGGTTTCGCAAGAAAGGCCATGACAAGAGCCCTCGCTCTCCAGTGGGGCCGATGACCCCATATAGCTTGAACAATCTCAGATTGGATCTTCTTGGCAACCTCTTTGGGGATCTGGTTGAGGGAAGCCGCAAAACAAAACCTGGGAATGACCTTGACCCCAATGAAAAAGGATTTCATTTGTACCGAGAGAGGAAGAGCCCTGATGTGTTTGATTTCTTTCACAATGGCTTGGGTTTTGGAGTCAGGGAAATGAAAAGCAAGTCTTTTGGACGTGGGAATGTTAGCACCAAGTACTTCAATCTCCAACTGCAGGGACATGTCAGGCCACAAAGATTTGCCGGTCTTTCTGGCACGGGTGGACGTTCCCCAAACCACGCATTTAGCATCGTTCAGGAGTTGACCCGAGAGTTGATCCCAATAACGAGTCATTTCAACTGCCGTGGCCAAAACACTAGCGTGCTCAAGGCGAGCCCATAGATAGGCGTCATCAATGTACGCCATGGCAACAACTTCCGGCAACAGGTCCATAAAAATGACCCAGACCTTGGAGTACACATTGATTGCTACTAAAGAAAGGCTGTCACCTTGTGCTATTCCGTTGGCAGCATGGGTGGCCACAGGCGAACACCAACACTTAAATGAAAGATGTCTATGCAATCCATCATAAAGCTTAGTGAAGATGGCGACCAACTTGCGATCAATCCCGAAAGCTAACATCAGGCATGCCGCAAAGGAGGGGATGATTCTATCGAAACACTTGGCTTTGTCGAGCTTGAGTCCCAGAAGCTCTTGGCCCTGGGATTCAGCAACATCGATGTCGAGTTTCAAGTGAGTTTGGATGGAGGACATATTACGCCCTTTGACACCCCCAACTAATTGCTTTGGCATCGAGTGGATTTGCCAGCCACAAAGTTGGCGGAACCTTGCTCCCGAATACGCCAAATATAAAATTGGCAACACAGTGATTAAACGCTTCTGCATAGGATGAGCAGAGCCATTCTTATTTAAAATCATCTGTCGGGCGCAAGTGAGCGTGGTCGGAAGCGGTTCATCCGAGAGTTCAAGCTGCTCAAAAACCTGTGCGAAGGGCTTGAAACAAGCCTCAGGCAGCTTTTGCAGCTCTTGTGTCCGCCAGCCATCGAATCCTGGGGCTGCTTGAGGCTTTCGGGCTTGGATGGTCAACCACAGTTCATGAGCATCAATGGGAGGACATTCGAACTGCATTGTGTGATCTTTGATGTAAGGCCAGATTACGTCCAACATTTTAAGTGGGTGTTCAGCATCGATGTTACACGCAAACACCTCATCCCAGGCACTGTTAAACGTGGCAATCGCTTGAGTAGGGTCAACGATGATGTTTCCCTGTGCGTCCTGCAGCAAGTTCGCTGGCTCATCACACGCTCGATTCCTGAGATGGCGAAAAACAAAGGAGTTGCCATTGTTGACATCATCCTTTATTTTGTTTCTCCATCGCTGGATGCGGTCAAGCTTGGTTTTAACATCGTGAGTGCGGGCACAATCACCTACCCAGTTGAGATTGGACCACACTTGAAGTACCGATGGAATCGATCCTCTTGGCCAAACAAATGGCGATTTCAAGCGAGTCAACAATTTATGGGCATTGCAGCAAGTATTAAATGAAACTTGCGTGTCGGCGAACGAGCCCTGATGTCGAGACAGGCGAAGAAAGAGTTCCTGCAAAACACGGAAAGCCTT